GCTGACAAATTTGTTATCCACCTTTTAAACTATTTACATGTTATTCCCAATTCTAATATTAAGAGCTGTCTTGAACAACATCCTAGAAGAAGCTGAGGCAAACTGCTCCTCCTGCCAAAGCTAAGCCAGGTGCTGTGGCAGCAGCAATGGCCCCTCAGATGACCCCAGGGACCAGAGAGCCAGCCCCAACATCATGGGCCGCGAGACAAACCTGGAGACCAGTTTAGGTGGGAAGCCGGCCCACCATCAGAAGGCCATCCCCACAGCTCACCTAACTCTCATTATCGACAGTGCTCATGGGAAACAGCCCTCCTGCACACACCCCCAGGGCTGCCCCAGAGCCCCCAGTTCCAACCTAGGGCCTGTCACCCCTCCAAAGAAGACCTACGTCTTGTTCTGTGAGGAAAGCCAGCCCCTTATGACTCCAGAGGCCCCCCTGGGTGGCAGACACCTGGCCCAAGCAAGGGCACCCTGCCATCCTGCAAAGGGACTGCGGCCCCAGCTCTCCCCTCAAACTACGGGGAGCCCTCTGAAGACTGTGCCTGTGAGGTCCTCAGCTTGGAAAACAGTCACAGGCTCACTCAAAGCCCTCTCCTCCTCTGTCTGTGGGCAGGCAGGTTAACTGGAAGAGCCTGACCATGGGAATGGGGGTTGGCTCGCCAGGCTTGAGTGTGCAGGGGCTGCAATTCCCAGAGCCCACTCCCGCTCCCCCAGCCAGCAGACCTCTTTTGAGCCAAGGAAGGAGCATTAGAGTCACTAAAGGACATGGGAAACAGACATGAGTACACACACTCAAGAGCACCCTACTTCCTCCTTCCTCTCTATCTTTGCTAGCCTTTCAAGCAGAAGCGGGATAAGACACATCCACACAGAAATAGACTCATTCATTCATACAGCAAATACTAATGAAGCATCTTCGACATGCTAGGCTCTGAAAAATGCCAGGGAAGGCACCACAGCCATCTAAGGAGTTCATATTCTTGATGTGGGGATGGGTCGGGGGAGGAGAGAAGGGTTAAACAACTAAATAAAGGT